TGCAGATTTGTTTTATACTTTACTTTTTGTTGCTGGGAACTGAGACCAGGGGTTTGCCCATGCTAGGAAAGTGTTCTACCACTGAGTTATATCCTCAGTCTCACAGAATTTTTTAAATATTTTAATCCAAAAATTAAAGACTATTAACTAGTTATATTATCTCCCAAGTAATTATATTTTGTGGCATTATTTACTTATACCAAGCTATGTAAACATATAAGCATTCTTTATCATCTCCCACCCCTCAAACACAGAAGTACTCTGTGTATAATTTCAATTCTTTTTTTTTTTTGGTACCGGGGATTGAACTCAGGACCTTGCGCTTGCGAGGCAGGTGCCAGAACCACTGAGCTAAATCCCTGGCCTTCAAATCTTAATATACTTTCACATAAAATCTTTCAAACTCAATGTGTATGTTATATATATATATATATATTCATGTGAATACACATTTACTTTTATAAAATTGAGATTCCTATTGCTCTGCACCATGCTTTTCTCACATCATGGGTGCTTTTACATTTCAATACATACTCAACTCTTAATATCTACCTCTCATTCTATAATCTTATGTATCATAATTTAATTATCCTTGTATGTCTGAAATATTTATCTCTGAAGGATATATTGTGAGAGGAAATATTCAAGTGTAAGGATTTGCATATTTATAACTCTGATGAGATAGAGCCAGATTCAGCTCAGAAAGAACTTTTTAAATTTGTACTCCCAGCAAAAACATGGATGTTCGGGCCTACAGTGACACTTATAATGGGTAACAAGGATGTTTGATGCAGTATTATTTGAAGTAACAAAACACTGGAGTCAATTTAAAAGGATACTAATTGTGACTTGGTAAAATAAAATGTAATAATGTGGCCTATCTTTGCTAGTTAAAACAATGTCACTGTGAAAGAAATCAGAATTCTATGAATGGACACAAAGATATCGAAGGCAATTTCTTAAATAAAAACAGTTGCACATTACCTATAGTGACACCATATTTGTACACAGAAAAACACGAAACATTATATATATATATCCGTACATATTTTTAAGACATATATAATTTAGTGATCTAGAAGGAAATAGAGCAAACTATAAAGGGTGATGAGGGACAGAAAAATAACAGGGTGGTAAGAAAAGGAAAACTGAGGCTACTCTATAATATAAACTGCTTACAAGATTGTATGTACATATCAATTATGTGTCTACAAATTTATAAGATACATGTATCCTAATTTTTCAGTTAGTCACCATTGCATATTATATACTTTGTAGGTATACCACTCAGACTTGTTTCTCTCCCCTTTTCTAGGTTTTGCCCATCCTTCGAGGTCCAGGTCTCTTTCCTCTTTGAGGCTTTCTCTATTTCAGGTCATCCTGGCCCGTGCTTTCTCTGAGCTCCAACAGACCAAAAAGCGTACCTCCCTACCTTTGGCCCTTAATCATTCTCTAAATGACCTCATGTAAATGGATTTTGTGCCTACCTTTCTAATTTCTCTTCCACCAGGGAAGTGCCTTTCTCTGAAACCTAGCTTTCAGTAGGGAAAAAATAAGACGGAAAATATAGACTCCATGAGAAAACAGAGCTGTCAAGAGACTAAAAAGCTTTCCTTCACCTCTTCATGGCAAGCAATGGACCATTTGGGATTCAGGCTCCAAATAGTAATCTTTCGTGTTGGCAGGTATTTGTCACAAATGAGTGTGAATAACAATTCCTACAGTTTGTTGGAATAAACCTTGAATTGGACACTATCAGTTACATTTATATCAATTTTCTCTTTTGGATCTTGGAGCATTTCCTTTAACAGATTTTTAGTCTGAACAAACAAGGAATCATATAAAAACCATTAGCAGACTGAATACGTTGTGATCTGCTAGTTAATATTGTAGCTGCTGGAAATTTCCTTATAAATATAATAAACTTAAAGCCTTTCTAGATTGTTAGGACAAGCCAGAAGTCATAATTTCAGAATTCAGTTCTAGTAGTAACTGCTGCTTCTGGAAAATGAGAGAAATCAACAGTATTAATTTTTTTACAATTCCAAAAAGAAGTACAAGTGTACACACAGAGTCCACCAAAAAATATATACACACTTCAGGAAAAGAAAAATAGTATGATGTTTTCCAACAGATGGTGTTACCCTGTTATGTGGGACCCTAGAGGTTGTTGTATACTGAAGAAAACCCACTACACTCCCAGCCCTTACAGAAGAAATTGAAAATGCATGTGCAGCAATCTCAGTGACCAAGGTTACCCAAGCAGCAGTTTGTCGTACTAATAAATGTCCGAAAGCTAATGGCCACCACTTTGTAATTGTAGAGGCCAAATGTAACTTATATCAATCTCACAATGTCTCAGTAAATTTAATATTAAAATATTTATATAAGTTTTTTTCCCTGAAGTGTGTATACTTTTTTCGGCAGACTCTATATAAAACAGCATGTGTCAGGATGAATAGAGCCTTAATTATTAAAGCAAACACTTATACGTGCTAGGCACTGTCCAGTGTACTTTAAATGTAACCCCTTCAATGATCCTAGAAAGAAGGAAACTTACATACAAAGTAAGTGTCATGCCCAGGATCACACAGTAAGTGGCAGAGCTAGGATTTAAATTTAGCACATCGGTGTTTGCCCTCAATCACCAAACTATGCTGCATATGGAATGTCCCATACGAAAACAACCATAATATTGAGATTTGTGGTACTATAGAGGATCAATTTCAGTATTTTTTATTAAGGGTTGTAAGATTACACAGCCCTTTGTTGTTTATTCATTTTCTATACTGGAAGCAGCAATGGATTTAGCTCTATCTTTCCCTTCTCAGAATTCAGAGTACTTTCCTAGATAGGAGCTTATTAATCTTTAAGCTAGGAAGGTTAAGGCCTAGAGGAGGAAGGCACTTACCCAAGATTCTGTAATCAAGGATGGTTCTGCAATCAGGATCAGATTTCCTGATCCTTATTTTATGGCAAACTTAGCTTTTCTGATGGTGACCTAGAAGGTCAAACAAAAGGACAGAAAAGAACATAAAAAGATATGAAATAATGGTTTTCTTCTCCATCAGTCAATGCAATTTTATCACACACAAAGGATGCCACAGCTGATAAATAATATACAAGTTTTTTTTTTCTTTCTTGTGGATAGTTTCACATTCACTTTACTGTACACTTATCTAATTTTTGAAAAAAATACTTTTATTTGAATAATTTCAAATGGATAAAATTAGAGGGAATAGTATTACAAACCCACTGGAATCCATCAACCAGCTTCAACAATTACCAACTGAAGGCCATCTTGTTTCATCTGTAACCCCACCCACTGCTCCCCCCCCCCTCCGATTTTTTTAAGCTCACCAAATAGTCGACTTCTATATTATGGAAAATTTCTAATATATACTAAAGAAAACAGACGAATATAAGGGACCTCATCCGCCTATCATTCAGCATAGATGGTGATTAATTTAGGGCCCTAATTTTATTTCATTTATACCCCTCCCCATTTCTCCCTATCGTAAAATTATTTTGAAGCAAATCCTAGTCATCAGCATATTTTGAAGTCAATCCCAGGCATTATTTAATCCATAAGCATTAATTCCACAAATAAAAGACAATTTGAAAACATAACCACAATATGACTCCCACGTCTAAAAAATGACATCAATTCCTTAAACATCATCAAATATCGAATACGCATTTAAATTTTCCTGATGCAGATTAGATTTTTACAGTTGCTGCGTTCGAATCAGGATTCAAACAAGGCCTACTCATCGCATGTGGTTTATCTCCAGCTCGCTCTCCATCTCCCTTTTTTTTTTTTTTTTTTTAACTTTTCAATATGGGGAAATTCCAATCCCCGCTAATTTGAGGTGATTTTCAGGTAGCAAATTATTTCACCAGTAAAGGTTAATATTTTTATCATTAATTTCTTCTAGGGAAGTTGATATACAGAAATGGCACTATAATGAGAGTATTTACGCAATTTGTAATTTTTCTCATTCTGTTACGCGAACATTTACCCCCATTAACAATAGCTAATATCTGTAGAAGCTAGGCTTCATATTAAGTGCCTTATACGCACTATTATACAGTACACGTCTCTGAGGTAAATACTATTATCACCATTTTACAAACATGGAAACCGAGACACAGAAAGAACACAGCCTTGCCCAAGCTGGGCGTTGGCGAGCAGGAATACAAATCTAGTTCTGCCGACTGTAAAGCCACAAGCGAGTCCTGTCTATACACACGGCGAAAAGAGGAAATCATCGACCCTTTCTCCCCACCCCCACCCCGAAACCTGAAACGAGAATCCAGCTCTTTCCAGTAGGACGTGTGATCACCGCTGTCCCTCCAACCGCCATAGTAAAGCCAGGTTTCTCTGGTAACTGATATCCATAGGCAGACACGTCACCCTGGAGGCGGGCTTAAGCCCTTCTGCCAATCACAATCGTCTTCTCTGAGTTTTAGAATGTTCCATAACCAAATGATTGGATTACTACCCCCACGTCAGCAGTGACACTTAGCCGCAGTAAAGGCGGGCGCTAGCAACCTGCTTCTTCATGGTTAAGGCCCACAGAAAACCAATCATCTTCCGTCTTTGCTGCGGTTTTGGCCAATGACGTTTGTCCTTTTAGGTTCTTAGCCCGTCCTCCCAAAGCGCGACAGCCGTTGGGTCATAAGTCTATAGGGCAGAGTGTTTCACGTGGCCTATTTTCACGACCCAGAGTTCCCCTGGCCAGAGCGGCTTTTTTTTTTCCTCTCTCTCTCTTCTGCAGGGAGGGATTATGGGTTTGTGGGTTCCCCCCCACTGGGAAAGGAAGTGTCTACGTGGCCTGCAGAAATAGGATAGGCGGAAATGAGCTAAGATTCCCGCGAGTGGGGAAGCGCGAGGTCAACCCTAGGGCCACGCCCCTAAGGCTGTTACGCAACTCTCGGAGAAGGACGAAAAAGGCGCAATGGAGGTTTTGACGTGTGTGCGAGTGGGGGTGGTGAGTGTCGCGGGCGAATGGCGTTAGGGCCAGGGTGTACTTGCGCGGGCAAGCTCGTGTGGCCGTGGGGTTGGAGTGTAAAAGCGCGCCAGCCCCTGTGGCGCCGGAGGTTGTGGGTGTGCGCAGGCTTGCGCTCCTAGCCTTAGGGTGTCTGAGAGTGTGTGCGCGCGCGCAAGCGCAGACCTAAATTGTTTTTTACTTTTATGTGTATTTGAAAAACTTTTAACGATAAGGAAAATAAGGCAAAGTGTCCATAACAGAAATAAAGGACTTTTGTTAGAAATATTTCGGGCTTTCCTACTGATGTTAGACCCTAAAACTATACTTTTTCCCATGTTTATCTCTGTGCCAAAATCCAGTTCTAAATTACAACCTTCCAATGCTTTAAGAGCAGCTACTCTCCTCATTCTCACATTAGTAATTCGAAGGAGGCTGTGGCTTACAGGCTCCTTACGATTCTAGTCCCCGCCCCCGATGCAATTCTCGCAGAAATATTTTCTAATGAGAATCCAGACTTACTCCCTTCTAGGGACTCCCCAAATTTTTGTAGGGACTGACGTTCTCTTTCCTTTCATCCTGATCTCCAAGCCCTGTGCCCTTCTTTAGGCAAATACGCACTGTTAATTTTCCAGAAAGTTCTCTGGTTGAGATTTAAACATCATATGAGTTTACCACTAGATGCCGCCAAATCCCAGCAAAGGATTCGCTGTTTTTTGTTTTGTTTTGTTTTGTTTTCCTTCCGGCAACGGCAATTGAACTCAGGACCTTGCGCTTGCTGGGCAGGCAGCGCAGCGCCACTGAGCAACATCCCCAGCAGCTGCTCTTGTAATTATGGCATTTTGCCCCCCTTCCCATTTGCTAAATTCTCCAAATAATCTGAGGATCCTGTTATCTTCATTCCTGAGGAAAAATAAAACTGACTTCTGTAAACAGCCCTATTAGGCGGAGGACTAAAACAATTCAATTGAAATATTCTTGCTATTTCCTTCCTTTCCTTTTTTTTTCTCTCCGTACCAGGGATCAAACTCAGGACCTTGTGCTTGGGAGGCAGGCATGGCGCCACTGACCTAAATCCCCAGTATTTCCTTAAAAAAAATATTCTCCAGCATCCCTCTCTTCACTACCCCTTGCATTTTATAGTCACAGATTTGATGACCCTAGCTACTGAATTGATGAAAATCCTAATCTTTCTTGCACACTTTCTTTTGAAATACTCAGAATTCCCCCAAAATAAAATACACTACAGATGATTAGTAACTCAGTAAAGATAACTCTGAGGTAAAAGTTAGACTCTGGTATTGAAAACTAATTTCTTTCCTTTAAAAATTTTTAACATATGTATTTGTACCCTATTTTCTACAGTGTACTACTAAATTTTATTGTGTCTTTACTGTCAGAAACTTAATTGTAAATCCTATTTCACCACTTACTAGCTCTGTGATTCTGGCCAAATTTATGTTGTGATTCTCACTTTTGCATGCTTATTATATTTTAGATGCTGTTGCATCCCACACACAGATATTCCTTTTTTCTTCACAAAAATTTTACTAGATTGGTACTACTATATTAAAATCAATAGAAATCAAGCCTTTCAGTTATGAATCACACATAGTTCTATATACAAGTTGAGTTTTTAGAGTAGTAGCTCTCAAAGTGTTTTTCCAGATAGACCAAAAGCATCAGCATCACCTGGAAAGTTGTCAGAAACTCAGATTCTCAGGTCCCACCTCAAACTTAATCATAAATTCTTGGGTGGGGTTTGACAATCTGTGAAACTATTCCCAGTGAATCTAATGCATGTTAAAGTTTGAGAACCATTGTTTTGAAGAGCAGAAATGCAATGCTTATTTTTATACATACCACTAGAGGGTGCCACAGAATATAAAGCAAAATAATAAATGATGTATATGTTCTGAGACACCCTGCATATTATTGGTCTTGTACAGATTAAAACTAATGTTTAGAGGTGTTAAGTTATTTTTCCAAGTGCACACAACAAGTATGGGGACCAGGATTAATACTTGCTTGTTCAACCATAAAGGCTTGTCTTTTAGAGCCTCAAAATACCGTACATTTATAGGTATCCTGTTCTCTGGCTAATATTGTAATATCCAGAAGAGTGCAGAAAACCAAACCAAGTAAATGGGAATATGTTGATTTTCATACCCTTCCTCTTCTCCATTCTGTAATACAGTATCACATGAGTGTTTCCCTTGTTGGTTTTTTATTTTCCAATACTCTCTACTCTTCAGCTTTTTAGTTTATACCTGACTCTCTTATGTGTGATGGGTGAATCAGAGTGGTGAGGAAATATACTTGTTGAAAACCTATTAGGAACTATACTATATTGCTGTATACCCTTAATCCTAATAAGCCTGTAAGTTAGGTGACAGTTATCCTTTTATACATCACAAAAGTGAGTATTTAGTCTGTAATTATTTTTGTTTGGACATATGACTTGTAAGTAATGGAGCTTGGATAATTCCTGGTATAGCTGACTCTATTATCCTACTAAACTTTCCAGACCTGTGTTTTGAATTTGGTAAGCCTTTTACTATTCAAGTGACTTTTTTTTTTTCCAGTACTGAGGATCGAACTCAGGACCTTGCACTTGCCAGGCAGGTGCGGCACCAGTGAGTTACATCCCCGGCCCTATTTAAGTGACTTTTAACAAGTTCTCTAACTTTTCCAAGCCTCAGTGTTCCCATATACTATATTAAGTGAAAACAGGTATTAATGCATTACAGTTTAGAACCACACTATCCAATACAGTGTCCGCTAGCACATGTAGCTTTTAAATTTGAATTAAAATTAAATAAATTTTTTAAAAATTCAGTTCTTAGTTGTACCAGCCACATTTTAAAGGTGCACCAGCTATAGTACTTAAGGCTAGCAGCTACTCCAGTAATACAGATAAAGAACATTTTCAACATCACAGAAAAATCCTATTAGATGGTGCTTATTGAGAGATCATAAGGTATGTAAAAGGGCATAGTATACTTCATGTCTCATGGTAGGTACCAAAGAAAAGTGATTTCCTTTGCTCTTTCTTTTCAGCATCAGAACTATTGAGTATTCTGTTTTAATGATAAAATTAGGAGAGAGGAGTAACTAACCCAAGGTGCTATAACAAGGAATCCACATCTCCTGACTTACTCCAACATTCTCTCTAGTAGACTCATTCTTATGCTTTACTGAGATTTAAAGGCTAAGGGCATAAATAATGTCAGTTAGTTTTGGAATCAGAGTGGTATGAGAGAAAGGCATAGGAACTGAGTGCTTCCTATGTGCCAGGCAGCAAAGTGCTCAGCTCTTTTTAACTCTGTTACCTCTCTAAATCCTCACTGAAGCACAGAGAAGTTAATACCAAGTTGCTCAGCAAGTAAATGACAGAGCAAGGATTCAGGCTTCTCTCTGACTCTAATGCCCAGGCTTTTTCCTCTTATGTCATGCTACCCCTTCAATATGAATAGCTGTGAGTATTCCCCTGCCATCTATGCTTACTAGTGGAATAAGACTTCAGCAGATTCCTGACTTAAAGTGAGTTCTCTGAAAATGTGTTACTCTTTAGAATTTATAGCCAAATCATTGTCTTCACAATCTGTTTCAGTTGGAAGGGAAAAATAGTTGAGGCTTGTTTGGTTCCAAGGCCCAACGCCAAATAGAAACTACGGCCTCAGGCTTCACAGGACACCTAATGGCTCCAAGAACCCTATGTTGATTTGTAAGGCTACCATTAGTTCATACAGTGCGTTAGTGTTAGTTAGAAACACATGGCACCTAGGGGTGGACAAATTGTTGAGAAGTGTCCACTTCAGTGGAACAATGAGAAAAGTGCATTTTTTTCTCTGGGGCTGCTGTGATCTTACCAGGGCAGTTGGAAAATAAATTTCAGCCTGGACTTGTGCTCTCTTAGTTGAGTACTGTTGTGTAGAATGCAACTTGCCTGACACTATTTGCTGGCTTTATCTTACCTTGTGGCTAAGATAGCTATCCTAGGTCTGGAATGTAGTACTTAGACTGTTCTGGAGAGTGTAGAGAGACACTAGTGTCCTCTCATGGCTTTTGGGTAATGGATGAAATTGGCCTATTGTAAGGTTTATTTGATATTTTAAAAATGTGTTTCTGACGAGCAAATTGGATATTTATACGATAGTGTTTACTTAATCTAAGTGTTAAAAATCCTAATATTTCAAGGCTAAGAAAAATGGTATTTCTATATTGAGGGTATCTTACTGAGTGTTTATACATGCTTCACTTCATAGGAATTTCATAAAACCAGTCCAGTAAATTAGTCTAGATCAGTCTAGTTTGCTAATACATAACAGACAGAGCAAAAATTGGAAAAGATCACGGAAAAGTTTTATCTTTTTAGGAGTATCTATTCTCTCCTCCTATAATTAACCCCTGCCCCATGACTGACCCATCGTTTGATAGAGGGTTTTTTTCAAGTGTCTGAAAACAGTGAAAAACTGAACCTAATTATTGAAGTCTTTGGGTGACATTGGGATGCCAGATTTGAACATTTTCTTTTATTTTCCCCTTTCTGAGTCGATAGTTTAGTACACAGTTTGCCAGATTCGTGGTTTTATGAAGGACACACGTCACTTAGAATCATCATGTAAAGTTGTCCATGTTACACATCAGCCAAGCGATGAGGACTGATTTCCACCTGTGTTTGCTGATGCCTATAATCTAAGCTTTACCTCAAGAGGATGCTTTGAGCCTTTTCCAAGAGGTAAGTTTACTTATGCTTATAACTTCTACTTATGTCTCCGGTTCATTGGAAATGATAAAAACTGTGGCTTCTGAAAATGTCAGCTGTCATATTATTTTAAGAAAGGACAACAGTAATACTTAAATTTCTATGTCTAAATTATTAAAGCATAATGATGGACATTTAGGGGTTCATTATACTATTTTTTTCTACATTGTGTATCTTTGAATGTTTCTATGGTAAAATAACTTTAAAAGTAGAAGAAAATTTAAACAATTGCTTCATCAATCCTGGGGCAAATAATATCCCTGGGTTTCTCTTTAGAAGAGTACTTATTAGCCAAGGAGTTGGGTGAAATACAGCCCTTCAGTAAAGATGGACCATGTGAAAATTTGGGAAGTGAGGCATTTAGATTTAAAAAGCATCATTGGCAGACATTCTGTTAAGATTTTCCAGAAGGGGAATCACCTCCTGCTTGTAGTCCCCCTTCATCAGAACCCATAGGAAACATCACTGTAATGAGCTACTGTTAGTGAAAGAAGCATCACCCATCCCTTGGGCATTTAGGAATGCAGAGAGGTTGAAACCATAGAAAGAGGCCTCAGTTAATGGGTGAAAACCATGTTAGTGAGCAGGCAGAAAAACACAGGCAAAGGGAATCTGGGAACAAGAGACAGAACTAGGACTGTAATGGGGCTTCATATATACCCCTAGTAAGTATTGTAGAAGGTAAAGCTGCTAAGGAATGAAGTAAACGAAGCAGAATATGTGACAGAGGTCGTCACTCAAGACCTTCTGGATATTCTTTTCTTTCTTTAGACAGGGTCTTGCTGTATACTTCATGCTGGCCTTGAACTCACCATATAGCCTAGATGGGCCTCAAACTTGTGGCGATTTTCCTGCCTCAGCCTCCCGAGTGCTGGGATTACAAGAGTGTGCCACCACATCCAGCAAGACCTTCCAAGTATTCTTGGAAGGTATCATGTCCCATCTGATACAGTTTTAAAACAGTAGAAACGCCATCTGAAAAGCAAAAACCATGTATGTGTGCACACATGCATACACACACATATACACACATTTAAAGACATAGAACCTGACTGTTTAGTTTGCAAAGGCAGGTTACATAAAGTACACATTGAAATTATGTGGTTTTTCACTACTTTGTTTTCAATGTTTTTATTATGTGACTAAGTTAATGAGCTCTGTTTGTATACTTCCAGGAGTAAGCAGATATGGTTGGTGATGGGGGCACTGTTTAAGGCAAGACCTCAGAAAACATGTTCTTTGAAGGCCCTGAGTTTGAGACAAAATGGTTCAAAATTGAGGACTGAGAAAGAGAGCAAGAATAGTTCCTAAAAGGTACAAAGCTGAGATTCACCCAGCTGCTCCCAGGCCAGAGTTGTGGATGGGACGTCAGTGGGACCCAGGCGGGTACAGCCAGCTTTCAATAGAGCTGGTCTGTGAAAGCTGGCTGAGAGGACAGAGGATGATTGAGGTTTGCTCCAGAGTGGGGCTGTCAGCTGTGTGCACCACCTCACCATGCTCCCAGCTGTAAACAAATGTCCTGGCCCTTCATGGCACTGCGGAGCAGTCCAGGCTGGTGTAAGTCTCTGAGGACAGCTAGACCATTTTCTCATCCTGGATGACAACCAGGAGACAGAAGAAACAATAGAAGGTGGTGGTGGGGAGGGACAGAGTTACAAGGGGGTAAGAAGAAGTGCCCAGTAAAAAAAAAGCTGTCAATTTCAGATCTTAGCTCTTTGGATGCAAGTAGTCAATATCTTGTAGGGATAGCAGACCACTTTCCTTGTGTCAGCTTCACAGGTAATAGTGAGTTATTAGAGGAGGACTTTAGAGCCTCTAGTGCTGTGATGGCGAACCTTTTAGAGCTTTTGTTTGTTTGTTTTTTTATTTTTTGGTACCAGGGATCAAACTCAGGACCTTGCTCTTTCAAGGCAGGCGCTGGAACCACTGAGCTAAATCCTCGACCCCTTTTAGAGCTTTTAATAGCAAACAGCACGCGTGCCTTAGGTTCACCACCGCTCCTTTAGCATATCATTCATTCTTTGGCTAGGAAGAAAAGGTACGAGACACTCCAGTTGAGGACTAAATTATTAGTAAAAATGAAGCTAGCTTTGGCTAAAGCAGATTAGTGTACCAGAGAGTCTCTCTACTTCACATAGCCTCATAGTCGTCACTATGACTAACCCAGGCCTCATTTAAAGTGACATTTAAAGGGATAAAGACATCCCTTTAAATGTCACTTCCTTAGGGAGGCCTTCTCTATTCTCTAGGACCAAGTTGAATGTCTTGCTTTATGTTCCCATAGCACTCATTCCCTTTCCAAAACACCACCATTTTCACCTGATGATCAACTTTTTTCTCTGTGTGATTTGTTCTCCACGATGCATTCAGATGTTTTTTTGCAAAATAAAAAATGCAAATCTGTTCCTTTGAAACTTTTCTACCCCTCATATCTCTCTTTTCCTTTGCCTCAGTGGTCTTTCTGTTCCTTTCCCTCTTTCTTTTTCTTCAGGTCACATCTTATCTCTCCATATCTCAGGAAAGCCTTCAATGACATCCTCTTTGCTAACTTCTACTAGAACTATGTTGGGTCCTTCTTTTACATAATTCCACAATACTTGCACATTTTTTCCATTTTGCTATTCTCCAACAACAGTCCCAGTTTGTCTCCCCCACCAGAATATAAGCCATCTGAGGGCAGGAAATGTTTCTTTCTCACTGTGTTTCTCCTGTATTTAGTAGTTTCTGGTATTTTGTAGTAGATATTATTAAAAAAAAAACAAACTTGTGAATGAATCCAAAGGAGATAAAGTGATATTGGTAGGTGAAACCCAACCTAAAAGATTGATCTTATACTTAGGTGCAAATAGAAACTAAAACTTTTCAATTATGTGAGGAAGAAATCATGAAAGAACACTGACTTTTTAAAAAATATTTTTTGGTAGTGCTGGGGATCAAACCTAGGACCTTATCCATGCTAGGCCAGTGCTGTCCCACTGAGCTACACCCCCAGCCCCTCAGAGAACATTGGCTTCTAAAAAACAAAACAAAACAAAATAAAAAACAATCAAAACACAGAAAATAGTAACCTCAGCTTACCCCAACTCTCACCTCCCAGTTATCTTACAGACTCATGTTCACTCCCTCACTGTTCCTCCTCCAAAAAGCAGAAGAAATCATACTTATTGGTCCTCCTAACCTGAGAAATTTGGCAGAATGGACAAATATATTTACTTCCACATGTGCAGTTGTTCATTCAGCTGGTGTTTATTTCCCACCTCTGTTGTTCCAAGAACAGTACTTCTCCCTGCTTTAATGGAACTCACAATTGAGTGAACCTTTTGTACTCATCACTCACTTGATAGCTTCAAATTTCTGGTGAAGGGCTTTACTTTACATTGGTTCAATAAGGGAGAATTTTCTGGGTGTTAGAGCCTTTAAAGAACCTTAATTTCCGGGGTACAACCTCTGTAAAACTGGTGACTCAGTCAGACTCAGGGAATGGATACTTATGCCAATCTCACCAGACTTTTTCCTCTACCTCATAGAGATTAGATGGCAGAATAGAGAATATCTGGAGGCCTTCAGGGAGATGACATCCCTTAACCTTACTAAACTGGTATTAGTGATGCAAATAGGCCACCAAGATGTACTTCTTATGTAAAGCAGAGTAGAGAAACTAAAGGAATGACAGGAAATAGAATGGGATTTCCCAGTAAAATAGAGCAGCTGCCCTATATCCCCAGAGGGCTGAAACTGGAAAGTAGCTCCAAGAATCTTCCAAAGAGAGAGCATAGTCTTCATACTAGAGTACATGTTAGTGCCAGGGGCTCGATTTCTTTTCAACTTTAAGTTTCAGGTGGCTATGAAACTAGCAAAGTAAGACATCAGTCGGTGCACATGTACCCCTGACATACCCCTTACTTCCTTGCTTCAGAGGAAGGGTAAAGTGAAGAAATGGATACTATTTTGCACTTTCATTAGTAATTGCATATCTGTTGGTTGAAGAATAACATCAGATATGGTATCTGTGATACTCTGAAGATGTATTTCATTAGCTTTGACCTTCGCTCTCTCCCTTGAATCCTTTATCCTGAACATGACTCCACCATGAGGATATTAGGAAGGGGTACTATATAAGTAACATATAGAAAAGAATGAGATTGATTTCCATGATTCATTGTTTTCTGTTAGGTGACTTTGGATGAAGAGATTTCATAAACCTAAAATTTGAAATCCTAATGACATGGGATAGGAAAGATTAACTTCAAAATAAATTGAGTTAAACAAAACAAAAAAGACAAAAGCCAAAATCAATGAAGTATATTTTATAGAAAGATAATGATGTATTAAGGAAAAACTACATTGTCTCCTTCCTTAAAGGACTGCCTTGAAGCTTAGGCCAACCAAATGATTATAACAGTTTATGTTTCTACTGTGAAAGGCTAAAATAAGTATAAATCTAAGGAATTCATAAATTCATAAAGAAATTTGGGTAAAGGAGACCCTGAATTTCTAGAAGTGGAGCTCAGCATGGCCTTTTTAACATCTGTAGTATTATCCTGTTGCCAAGATTTGTGCAATTCCCTTTTCTATGGGAACTCTAGACATCTAATATGGGTGTCAATCAAGTGATGATCAAGGCAGAGGTTGAGGACTGCATGGTCATCAGAGGAACAATTTCCTCTGGTGCAAATTACCTTACCCATGCATCTGTTGCAATATGTGATTCAGAGTAGTCCCAAGTGAAACACTGTGGCTAATAAATGATGGTGCACTCAAATATTTTACTTTCTATTTTATTCTTTGATAATTTCAACTAAGTTGAGAAAAAAAGGGGGTTACAGTTAGGATTTGGGCTTTGCCTCATCAAACTTTCAATATTCCTATGTTGTCTGATGAAGAGCCAGGATTAAATGGTCTGAGCCAGGCCCTTCCCTGTTGTGCCAGTTTTTAGAATTCTAAGATATTTTGATCTGTTGAGCAAGCTATCTTATGGGAAATCCCACAAGATACTAGTTTTCTAATAAAGCTAACTGTTTTTGTTTCTCTGTGTGGGAAGAGTGGCGAGTATTAAATACAGCCAATATAGCAAATGTGTTATTATGACCATGGTCCCAAGCATTCTTGCTCTTCCGATAGTCAGGGCTATCTTTATAACCTAGAACTTGCTTCTGTTGTAAGACTTGGGTAAGCCACTTAACCTCTCTGAGCCTCATTTCCTCACTTCTTACATAAATATGTGCTTGTCTTACCTCAAAGGTTGCTTTGAGGATGACATGGCAGATAAATATTTTGCAAAGAAAAAGTACAAGGTCACCTGGATAGTATGGTCCTTTATGGCATAACCCTTTTCAAAGAAAGCATAGTTGATGAGAACTAGCACTGCAACTGGGTGGTAGAAAAAAATTTTTGAAGAGCTATAGTGCTCATTACTTTAAAAATTATGTGGCAAACACTAATTTATTTCATGCTATAGGCTTGGTATACAAGATAAATACATTATAATCCCTGGCCTCAAACTAGTATTTATGCACATGTTCAAAACTCATATAGTATATGTGTGTGTTCAGAAGACAACTACAGTATACCTCTGTTTATGAACTTAATTTGTTTTACAATTTTGAGGAAGATGGCTGCATTTGTGTTCATGTGGGGAAGATGACCATGGTCATGTTTGTAACCTGATGCGGAATTTGTGAATGGAAGCAAATTTGTTGAATGCTTGTGTTTGTAAACCGAATTTTTAATTATATATTTAACTATATAATCTTGTAAGTATATACATTATGAGATATCAATACATTTGCTGAATGTTTAAATTTTTAAAAAAATTATTACAATAAAGACACATTGCCGTTAATCTCCCTCAGAATACCCTCTTAACTTATAGTACACTTATCCCATCATTCTTGCCACTTTCTAAAGCAGTTCTGGAAGTCTTCCTCAATATCTTTACAAGATACGATCAAAACTATGATGAATGCTGCTCCTGAGTGCCATCCAATGGATAAGCAGGCTTGTAAAAGTATTACAGTGTGTGTTTATCCAACTTATTCACTGGATCTGGCACCAGGTGACTTTGGGCTCTTCCCCAGTGTTAAAATGACCATGAAAGGTAAATTTTTTGAATTGAGTCAGGACATTGGGGCAGCCACAACAGTCCAACTAAAGACACTCATGAAAGAGGACTTATAGAACTACTTGAGAAAGTGGCAAGAATAATGGAATAAGTGTGTTCAAATGTAGGGGAAGTGTTTTGAGTGGTAATGTGACTCTGACTGTGATAAAAAATTAAACATTCACCTTATTTTTCAGCCACATTTCCTATGTATAGAGTATCATTGGAGAGCCTAAATCTGTCTGAATATTGGAGGGGCAGGGGTTTGAGAATGCTTCACAGAAAACATGATATCTAGGTAGTCTTGACAGATAAGTATAAGTACCTCTGGTGGAAGAAGTCAGTGGAAGAATTTAAAGGCTAGGGAACAGCTCTCACAAAAACAGAAAGCATTAGACAGAGTCAGTTGCTGAGTTCAGGATTCTGTGGGTGGAATAGCATGCAAAGTGCAGGGCTCATTTAGGGATGTGAAGGGGACATGAGAGAAGAGGGTGGAGGCACTGGCAGGGGCCAGAGAAGAAAATCCCTTGGAGGCCGATTTAAGGAACTTGGACTTTTCCCTGAGACATGGGAGGGAGCTATTGGAAAATTAAAAACAAGGAAGTGTCAAAAAGACTGTTTTAGAACAGCCTATGATCAAATTGGTACTAGTGTGGAAGATAGGAAACCATACTGGAATCAGTGGTTGAGCAAAGATGAAGTCAGGAAGGATAGGTAAAGAGGGGTGATTTCAGAAATATTTGCAATGTATACTCAACAAGAGTTGGTGATTGATTTTATCTGAGGGCTGTGGAAGAAGTTGTCAAGAATGACTCCCAGGTGTCTGGCTTAAGTGACTACATGTGTGGAAGTACCACTCATCGAGATTTGAAAGATTGTAAAATGGAGTGGGAAAGAAAGTTTGAAGGATTTTATTATTCTTTTGGTACCGGGGATCGAACTTGGGACCTTGCGCCTTCAAGGCAGGTGGTGGAACCACTGAGCTAAATCTCCAGCTGAAGGATTTTGTATGCTGTTTGGCATTGAACTTGTTGAGTGGATGGAGGCAGTAATTTGAGAATCACCAGCATGCAAGTTATCCCAGCCATGGAAATAGTTGACAACAGCCAAGCAGAAGATATACAGTGAGGAGCAATGAAGTCCAGAGATGAAATCCTGGAGAATAAGAAATGGTCAGAAGGACAAGAGAAGAAATTAGAGAATGAAAATCAGGGGAGAAGAGAATTTCAAAGTAGCAATGATGGCTTAACATGTTACAAGAAATTATGAGAGATTAGGACAGAAGAGTGTTGATAACATAGCAATTAAGAATGTACTGTGAGGAGGGCCGGGGATTTAGCTCAGTGGTTTCACCGCCTGCTGCGCAAGTGCAAGGACCCGAGTTCGAACCCTGGCACCAAAAAAAAAAAAAGAATGTACTGTGAGGAACATGGAAAAAGCACTTGTAGAGTGGGTATGGGGATGAAAGTAGACTGCATTGTGTTAAGGAGTAAATAGTAAAGGTGAGGATGTAGAAATGGCAATAAAAACATCTTTTAAGAAACTTGGTGGTAAACAGAAGGGCTGTAGGTTAGCAGCTAGAGAGAAATTCAAGGTCAAATGGGTTTTTTTCATTTTTCTTTTTGGATAAAAAGAGGTTCAGGGAGATTAAACAGTTTTCCATGGTTATGTAGTTTTTATGTTATATGATATAAATAATTCAGTGCCAGTGACAAGGATGAAAATGTATGAGAAGCAAGTCTAGCCTGAACTTTCAAGTATGGCCTCAGCAGACTGACTCACAAAGTGCAAATTTGAAGTTCCAAAGAGGACCCTGTGTTAGAAATTTGACAGGTGTAGAAGAGCGACTATGATGATGTAATTTGCTCATATAGTAACTAATTTGTATTGAGTACTTACTATGTTCAGAGTTCTGAGTTAGGCACTTTACCAGCATTATCTAATTTATTTCCCACAGCAACCCTTTGAGGTAGGTTCTGTTATTACTTTCATTTAACAGATATGAAAAGTAAAGCACAGAAGAGATTAGTAATTTACTCAAGGCTGCAGAATTATTGCATGCTGGATCTTTGAGCCTTTAAATGGCCCTTCAAAGGAGGAAACTTAGGCTGAGAGAGGTGAAGTAATTTTTCCAGGAACCTATATGTCATAAGTGCTGGTATTGTAATTCAAACCCAGGCTTTGTCTGGTACCAAAGTCACCGCATTGTCTTAATCAACACAGTTCAGAATGGAAGCTGTAAAATAGATAATATGTGTCTATTTTTCTAGATCCATCTCTGTAAGGCAACATACTCCCCAAATTTAGATGCTGGTAAGAATTTGCCCTTATTCTAGGGAATTGATACTGAAAGCTTATACTTGCTTATACTTCTGTTGTAATGTGCCACATGGTATAATACAGCATGGGATTTGTAGACAGCTTCACAGTGAAAGCAGAAGCTGCAAAAAACAAGGCTACCTAGGAGAGGTGACAATAGTTGAGTTTTCATGACTTCTTCAGGTGGCTCCTTGACAGCACACTTTGTCATTCTTCCATGGAGAGAATATGAAGGTACAATAGCTCAGATACCCTTCTTCCTCCTGCCTAAAGTTTCCTAGCAAACTGTTCTGATGCCATCAGCCCACATTTGTAGAATATAAATATTATTCTAATTGTGAAGTATGTTATAGCAAAGAGTGACAGGCTAGGAAGAACAGCTTACTTGCTGTCCCTTCAGAGGGCTGTTTTTCTAGCAGGAACAGTATAAAGAGCAGGGGCGGATTGCACATGGTTATACTGCTAAAATCCTAAAATCCCCACCATCGTACCCACTTGTCATTACCAGTTTTCATCTGGTGATTGGTTTTTGAAATAAGATTGATTCTAGCCTTCATGTACGGGTTATTATTAATGTTTAATCAGAACAGTATGATTCTTCATTCAGTGATGCAATTTACAAGGTTTTTCTGTCTTCTTAACTTTGTTTCTGTTACACCAAAGATGTGCTCTGTGTGCGTGTGTGTGTGTGTAAATTTTATGTGATTATTTTATAAACTCCCAGGAATGTTTTTCTGCAATCAATAAACTAATGTAAAAAAATGAACAGAAATGTGGTATATGATAAAGCAATTGATTGGTCATGGTTTTATTCTATATACATATATTGACACCAGAAGTAATGTAGGCTAACAAGTTGTATAAAATGCAGTAGCTTCCCCCAAAGAGGTTATTCTACATTTCTTCCATTGAACCAATGATAGTACTACTTAGCTTCCTAATTCCCGAATGGTTCCCATGCTTTATTGATTTGGTGACATTAACAAAGCAGTTTAATGAAATCATTAATTGCAACATACTGAAGTCAAACTTCAGATTTTGGTAGCTAGAAATGATGAGATAAGAATAATAAATATAATACTGATAATAAATTGAGAATGGAGAGAGGCAAGTGAGGGCATATATAAAGATTCCCAGATTCTAGACAAAGTTGCGATATTACCATTGCTGAGTGAAAAGAAAAAAATAACTTTAAATCAACTTAACATTTTAAATAGAAGAGTGCCTGTTCTTTGGTGATAGGTAAGGAAAATGCTTATGGGGGAAAATTAAAGGAATAAATTTAATTCACTACTCTTTCCAAAGAGAAAGCTTTTTTTTGCTTTGCCTATACATTCTGGGAGGAAAAGAGGCTCTGGTAGTGTGTTAAGGGGAAAGAGGAAGACAGAACACTGGTTTTCCAAAGAGCAGAGCAAGCTGAAAGAAGATGGAGGTGCTGATAGCCTTAACAACAACCGAAAAAATAAAGCCATTTCTATGGAAAAATGAATGCATAAACTATGTAACTCATATTAAATATTAATAACAATGAAAACACTTGTAACACTTTAGGGAGTGTTTGTCCTTTTAAAATGCTGTTTTAAATCCTAAAATCATTTCAGATGTGATTCAGGGAGAAAATAATGTGAGTCTCTGGAGGAGTGAGTAGTATAAGAATGATGATAAATGGAAGTTATCTCTAAATGAACCTCTTATATCACCTCTTGGAATTCACTTTGGTAAGAAGGGTCTAAGTTTAAGAATTCTGTGATTGAGTATATTGCTAGATGTTAGATGCCCTCAGTGAGACCTAGCACTCCTCTTGCCCCTGTGTGTATGTGGAAAGGGTAAGGAAAATGAAAGCCATTTATATCTGATTCTGCCACTATGTATCACCCTTCTCTACCTAGGGGCCCCAATGGGAGGGATAGTACCTTTCACCTGGCATTGCCTCTGAGTAGCTTTGTGAGTTCCTTTGGCTATTATGTTGGTTGGTTCTTTGGCTTCTTTGATTCCCAGCACCAGCTGATGCCCTGATCTGAGTCCCAGTTGGGCAGGCTCTATTGCTCAGTTATGTAGCTGTCTCCAAGGCATTGTTCTTGAGACTTCCAACAGGGCAGATTTGTGTAGTTGGCCCATCTGGACAAGGTCTATAACAAGTAGATCTCTGTGCAATAAGCTCATCTCCATAGTCCACCCCCCTCTACCCCCCCACCCTGTTCGGGCTGCAGCAGCCTGACACCCCAGCTCCACCATAGAGAGTATCAAAGAGATACTCTCTCCTCCTTTCAAAGGAGTATTGCTAGTGGCCTCTCATTGATTTGGCACTACCTGGGCAGAAATGGGAAAACAGGGGCTCTCTGCCCTTCTCAATTTAATCTTGTTTAAGCCAGTTTTAAAATTTTAATCTTCTTGATACCAGCATGATGATATAACCAGTAAAAATAATTTCTAGACCTTCTCTCAAATCCAAGGAAACGAGGACTAGCTCAGTGAATAAGAAAGGATAAGCTCAATAGGAAAAGGGAGAAAGAAAGCTGAGCTTTTAGTTTGATTATAGGATTTACTTTGACCATTGTTCTATTGACTTTCAATATGGAACACCCTGAAGTGAGGGGAGGGAGAAGGAGAGAGGGAAAAAGAGTTTTTCCCTCAGTGTTTGTCCAAGATATGGGTCTTCTGTATACCTACTTCCTCCCCAGGAACTTTGAAGCCCACTCCACCCTGAAAAAGGTTCCTTGGCACCATTTGCTTACCAAAAGAAGGTGAAGGAGCAAGTTGGAAATGAAAGGTCCTGAAAAGTAAAGAGACTTTGGAGAAAAAGAAGAAACAAATGAAAACTCAGCCCACAACAGACTCTCTGAGGGTAGTTTCTGTATTCTGCTCTTCCTGTGTTCTACTACCTTTGATCTCACTTTTCTTTTCCCTTTCTCCCCTCTTCCTTTTTTTTTTTTTTTTTTGCGGTACTGGAGACTGAACTCAGGGCCTCACATATGCTAGGCAAGCACTCTACCATTGAAATACAACCCCAGCCCTTTTTATTTTACAAAAAAATATTTTTGAGACAGGGTCTTGCCAAGTTGCCCAACCTGGCACTAGTAGCTGGGATTATAGGCATGCGCCACTGTGTCCAGCCTGGTCTCATTTTTTCTTGAGCTTCCTAGCATCATCAAGTAATTTATTTAAAGAATAAGTATTTTTTATCTTTTTTTGCTACTCAGAAGCTCAGTACTCCCTGTCACCATGCTAATTAGGGAACAGAACAAATATTTTTGAGACCAGCAACTTTGGGTGTATCTGGAATGGCCATCTTTCTGAAGGTCGGTCCAAGATTCCTTACCTAATTCTGATAGTGTTGGGCTTCTCAGGAGACTTGGATACCTCTTGGGCCACATAACAGTGCCTTAGCTTAGTACATGACTTTATTTTTGTTATGAGAAGGGGAACCTCTGCCTTTGCCTTCCTCTCACTAAGAAAACCTGACCGGATCACGCAGGGCAGCACTTGTGAATAGGCAAGGCCTCTGAGCATGCAGTTGAAGGAACAGAGGACTAAATAAAGGCCAAGCTTTGAGTAGATGGTTGAAGGATGAGGAGTGGGGCAGATTAAGATGAGAAACACCAGGATATAATAGCAGTGGTCTAAATATTCTGCGCTAAAATAGTGGAAAACAGAGGGTCCCCAGAAAGGGCAGGAGGTCATCCTGGCCACAGGAACATGCCCAAGCTTTATTCTCATGGGAATTGGGAGAGTATGGAGAAAATCTGGATTAGGGTAGATGAGCCATCTTGTAAGTACAGCCACCATTGTCACTATGCGGTATAGGGACTGGTAGTTGTGGGACTGGTAGTTGTTCTGGGAGGGAAAGATCATGTCTAAGTCCTTGATGGGGTCTAATAGAGAGGGAAACCCCACCCAGGGAAAGCAGGAAGCCAGCAGCTGGACTGTATAGCTCCCACCCAATTCATAGTGCCTGGTGGATATCTTCTGACCATAGCACTTTATAGACAACCCAGTAGAAGATATTGAAGATGAGAAAAGTAAAAGGGAAGACAGCCCGGGAGATGGTATCAATTCTTTTAGCTCGATCCACATAGAGTTTCCTCATGGTTTCTCCCTCTTTTAGAAGAGGAGCTGGAGGTTGGGGGCTATAAATACTACAACCTTTCATTGGACCTCCATCCCTTCCCTGTAAGCAGTGGCCTAGGCCATAGCCATGGAAGTAGAAGCGGCTTTCTCGTATGATGTCTTCCTCCTGAAATTATAAGGAAGAAAAGGCAGAATTTGAGGTTAAAACTCTAAGGCAGAGGGATAAATGTCAGGTCACACAAATATCTCATAGATGATGCACTGAAGACAAGGTGACTGAGCACACAGGCTTACATTTTTGATAGCAACAAAACTCAAAAGACAGTTGTATGCTAAGCACCTATATATATGGTATATGTTATGATTCCACTTACAGACAGGTTTGCAGCTGCCTTTTTTTTGTATATCCTTTTATTGGTACATTTTAGGTGTACAGTATAATGACATTCATCATTGGAGATATGCACCTTTACATAATCTCTCTTGGTTCTTATTTTTTCCCCCTTGCCCTGCCCTCCCTTCAACTCCTCCATCCCTCCCTATTTACAAAGACTTTGTTTCCTTTTTTTCATTTTCTCATATTAATTCCATTCCCTTCTTTCCTTTCTCCTACCCCTCCCACTTCCCCTTCCCCTTTGCCGCTTTTCTTCCTATTTCACATTATTATACCTTTTAGTCCTTATTTACACTTTTGCAGCTGCCTTTTTAAAATGCATAACATCATTTAGATCCATCTAAAACTCAGTGAAGTACCATCTACCATGAGAAGGCATGTCGATGTCAGGTTATCTCTGGCTAGTAATAAACAGAACAACAAAATCACCAGACAGTAAAGCTAAGATATTTAGATGTCGTGAAATTTAATGACTTTCAAAATCTTCAAAATTAGCTTTCCTTATATATGATATATTTTAAAAATTATCTTAACTTCATGCTGAAAATTCCAAAAGTTTTAAATAACCTAATGGGTCATTGAAAATAGAATAAAGCTGATCACTCTATTGCAGATATGTGTATTTGTCTGCAGATTAGAAATTTTGTCATAAGGGTCAGTATATTTATTACCTAATGAACATTCTATTCATGTACCATACATGCATTATAATAAATACATCAAAACTAAAGGAGTAAATTTTATGTAAGCACTAAGTTGTGTGGCAAACTATAAAAATACATTTATCCAATAATCAGATGACAGCCTTAAGTCGATATAACACAGCCAGCAGCCAGGAAGTAAGGACAGAAATATATTGATAAAAGAGATAGAAGTCAAATGTGGTGGTACATGACTGTAATCTCAGCACTCTGGGAGGCGGAGCCAGGATCACAGGTTTGAGCCAGGCCTGGGGAACTTAGTGATTTAGTGAGATCCTGTCTCAAAATTTTAAAAAGGGCTGGGATTTAGCTCAGTGGCACCGCACCTGCCCTGCAAGCCCAAGGTCCTGAGTTCAATCCCTGGTACCAAAAAAAAGGCTGGGGATTTAGCTCAGTGGTGCTGCTGTCTGCCTCACAAGCACAAGGTCCTGAGTTTCGATCCTCAGTACCAAATAAATAAATAAATAAAAATAAAAATTACAAAAAGGGCTGGGGATTGTAACTCAGTGTGAAGGCCCTGAGTTCAATCCCCAGTACTACCACACACACACACACACACACACACACACACCATGGTATGATCAAAAAAGAAAATGTGTTATTTATACACAATGGAATACTATGCCATTTCCTTTTTTTTTTTTTTTTTTCCCAGTACCAGGGATTGAACTCGGGACTTGTGCTTTTGAGGCAGGCTGCAGAACCTCTGAGCTAAATCCCCAGCCCACTATACTGTTTCTTTAAACTTCAGTCATTTGGAGGAAAATGAATGCACCTTTAGATCATAATAGTAAGTGAAATAAATCAAACACATAAGCTTAATTATTACATGTTTTCTCTTTTATGAGAAACCCAAAATATAAATAAAGAGTAAAATAAAAGATAGGTAATAGGGTGATAAATAAGGGGATCAAGAGATGGATGGAGGGAGGGAGGAGGAGGGAAAAGGAATGAAAAAAATTAGGATGTGTTATGTACATGTACCAACTCCCATGAAATTTCATTCTATATTGCAAACTTGTACTAATAAAAAATTGAAAAAAATACAGTGAATGTTTAAGATTAAAAAATAGATTACAGCAAAAGACACATTGCTATTAATCCCCCTCAAAACACTTATCTTTGAGTACAGTAATTCCATCCTTCTTGCACCTTTTTTAAATCGTTCTGGAAAGCTCTCTTTTGTAAGTGTCCTTACTTGCATTATTGGGCTACCCTAATGTCCTGAGTCGATCCAAAACATTTGGCTTTCATGATCATTTTGACTTTGTGGAAGATCCAGAAGTCTCATAGTGCCAGATCCAGAGAATAAGGTGGATGAGGACATATTGTAATGTTTTTATGACCCTGCCTTTTCTTTTGGGTGGCACTAGACAGCAGCATTCACTGTATTTTTTATCACACTTTATAAAAATAGGGGAGGGGAGAACCAAAGCCCCTGGGTGATCAATAGAGTTTTATTTATATAGTAGGCCCTTGGGCTTCCATTCAGAACCTATTTGCTCTTATTTTATTTAAGACCGATACCTCACAATAAATATATTTATTATGTGTTGCAAAATATACTAATAAAAATTTTAAAGATCCAAATAAGCTTAATTTTATCTACTTCTAAACGGCAGTTAAAAATATAAATCCTTCAGGGCCAGGGATTTAGCTCAGTGGCACCATGCCTGCCTTGTAAGCATAAGGCCCTGAGTTCGATCCCCAGTACAAAAAAAAAAAAAAAAAAAATATATATATATATATATATATATGGTTACAATTTTTGAATTATTGAAGGTTTTGGAATGAAAACTTACGCTAAGAAATCAAAATAAAATGTCCCCTTGTAAAATGTCTTGGTTTTTCCAGAACCAGAATCAAGGGGCTTCTTGAGTCTTTCAGTGCTAAAACTGGAGAATTCCAAAAACAACCCAGTTAGTTACTCTACAGCTACCTTAGGTAGTTACTATAAAGGGTAAGAACAAGATATATGTATATGGCAAGTGGGAAGTCCCGAGTTCGATCCCCGGTACCAAAAAAAAAAAATTCTAGCACTAACATATATGTATATGGTATGGATATGACATTTTTAAATACTGTGCATCATAGGATGCTTATACTGAGGCCTCTGCAGCTATAGTGGCACATTGAAAAGAAGCTTCATAGATTAGGTATTGGTGTGGTATGTCCTTGTAACCCTTGATTATTGCATCACCAGAAGTTGAATTGTCATGAGGGTAGGCCTGGTAACAGTCACCAGGGACAGGCAAACTCAGGCCAGAATTTCACCAGCAGATTCTATCCCTCCTCTGTTGCTTGTGGACTTACAGTACAAACTTGGACGGTGGTCTAATTTCCTGCTGTATCCCCAGTGCCTAGCACTGTGCCTGGAACCTGACAGGCACTCAATAGATAGTATCTGTTGAATGAGTGTATGGACTGATGAGCCATGTGCTTCAGAATAAAGGAAAAGGATTGGCCTATTGTTTTTGTGAAGCCAACATCCTCTTAGGGTCTCAAACAGAAGAGTGTCCTCAGAAGAGAATTTCACTGAATTACAAAGTACTTGGCAGGAAAACAAAATTACTCCTTGCCCCACTCTGCACAATGCCACGATGTCCTTTGGCCTCTAGAAAGGGAGTGATACTTTTGGCATAGAAAAGAATCCGTGTTTGCTCACCAGATAGCTTTGCTGCCCTCTCCTTGATTTGTTACAGTTTTTGTAGAGAGAGTTATATGCGTGCAGGTCAGAGGCGATTGACTATTGTGGATGTACTTTGAACCTGAATAGTTGTAGTGGGGCAGCTTTAGCTCTTTGCTCAAAGCTATTCCCATAGCTTCTTTCACCAAAAACCTTCATTTTTATACATTTTGTTCAGAAGAGGTTTGCTGGACCCATTATAGAGATAAAGAAACAGAGACAAGCATATTATCTCCCAAGGAATTTCTCTTGCTTTCCAGTTCAGGTTCCCTCAGATTACTTTGTTTTCCACTGCTCATCTGTCCCCTGTAGAAGATATAGTACATATTTGAAAAAAAATACTCTGAAAGAGAAACTTGGATCCTACTGCTATGTCTATTTCTATAGATACAATTATTTCCCCTTTTCTCCCATCACAGTAAATCTGAAGGGAATTATCTGGAAATATTTCCCAGGCTAGAAAAAAACCATTTCAAACAGGAGAGAAAATACGGCCAATAGAGTAAGCTGCTCTAGGCTGTTTTTCATTTTAATATGAATCTCTTGTAGTTGGGAGACAAAAGGTGAATGGCCTGAAATCCAAGGGTGGGGGGTCCTGGATTTGGGTATCATCTATATAGACCAAATTCTGTTTCCTTTTGTGTGCCTGCACATGTGTGTGTATATGTGTGTGTGTATATATGTATGGATGGATGTTAGAAAGTCACAGTGGAGTCTTAAACACAACTTACATAGCTATGAAGTAGAACTTTATTTTTTCTAGCTGTGTATAGGGGAGGAGAGCTGAGAAGCTGGGAGAATATATATTCTAAAAACCAAGCTGGAGAGGAAAGGCACAGTAGGGAGTGAGGTGTGGAGATGGGAAAGAGTAACATGTATAGAAGTAAGAGTGGCAAGAAGAAAAGAGATTAGAAATAAGAGGAGGGGCTGGATAAAAGATAGAGAAAGGTGAATAGGGTTCAAGGACCAAGCCACCAGGAACACATGGCAGTATTTTGAAATTTCTCTTAGTTCTCATGTTTTTCTCTTGACAATGGCAAGGTTTCCTCTTTGTCCAGTTTGATAGAGAGCCCTTGCCAGTCAGCCAAAGTTGGTAGGCTGGGTTACGTGGCTGCTATATTCTGAGCTTGGTATTAAGGCCCTGCTGAAGTGATACAAAAGAGAGCTTCACTCGTGAATCTTACAGACTAGCTGGAAAGACAAAGTGTAAGCAAATAGGAAAAAACATAACCATTTTAAACTGTGACACGGAAGGAGACCACCATATAGTAGAGATGGCTGGTTCAGGAGAGGTTACTGAAGAAAAAGGTTAAGCCTGGCCCTGATTGAATAACTAGCTGGCTCTTAGAATACTCCTCTATCTTGCTCTTGGATAAGGGCTCCCTGAAAATCAACTGACCCCCACGCCAAGGGCTCCTCTCAGACTGAAGACTTCTGCATCTCTAGCTAGAATAGTGAGGCCCAGAGAGAGGTTCAGGTAATGGATGAACTTGTTTAGTCTGCTTAGTGCCGCCAGGATTCCTGTTACAGTTTCGCTGAGATGGCAGTAGCTTTAAGGAGACTGGACAAGGGATATGATTAATGGCACAGGTTTGATTTTCAGGTTTTATTCACATTAATAATAAGCCTCAATCCATTTTCATGTAGCCCCAAGGTCCTAAGTGAGGCTTGGGCTGCTGTTAAGACTTTTGTAATAACTGAGCACTGGTTATGACAAGGCTCCATTATGAGCTCAGGATCAACCTATATATGACCAGAAGCTGACAGGCTGTGGGCAGTTGGGGGTTGGATGAGTGTAGGGAAGGAGGTGGGCCTAGTGTCATCTTAGAGTAGCTCTATAGTCTTTCATTCCTGGGACAACCACACAGGCAGTTGAGCTGATGTAAGGACTCTGGACCCGTTTGCAACTTGCTCTTCTTTTCCAAGGTAGGCATTAAGAAGGTACCAAGATCAAAATCCCTATAAGAACAAGATTTTGGTAATTTCAGGCAGATTTTACTCAACTAAAGTAAGAGATGGGACAGTTAGCTTAGAAAAGAAAGCAATTTCTTTCCTTTCCCACTGTCAATGCTCTCTCTGTATTTTTCCCAACTCTCAATATAGGATAGGAAAAGCTTTCAGATCTCTTAAAGAATGAGTACTCAGTTTTTAATACCCAAGGAGATCCAGTTGTAGATAAATCCACTAGAGGGCTTGCCACCTAGGGCCCACCTAAAGGACTACAACAAGGCAAGAGTTGACAAATACAGATAAATCCCAATATGAGACACCAGCCTTGTCCTCTGCAGAAGGAACTTACAAGGGGCATGAAACCATATAGATAGTTTGTGAGATATTATTAATGTGGACATATGGTAGAAGTGCCCCAGCAACAGCTGAAGTAAGAAATGGAGTTTTAGGAAGAGGAAGAGTCCTTGTCCTGATGTGGCTCAGAGAGGCTACAACCAGGATTTTTTCCCCTGTGTTACCGAGGGTCAAACCCAGGGCCTATATGCATGCTAGGCAAGTGCTTTACCACTAGAGCCCCTAGAGCCAGGATTTTAACAATGAGTTTTCTATTCCCCAGAGATCATTATGTGCTTGCCTTTTTGGTTTTAAAGCCTCTGGATTAGGCAAAAAACATGGAGTCAGAACTCAAGACAGACCAGAACTCTGTGTCTCTGGAGATTAAGTAACTAGTATGTAGCTCAGTAAAGGTTTTTTTCTGCTTTGCTCATAATGGGAGGCTTGTTTCTGTGAGGGTAGCCCAGTCATCTCTGTTGTCATGACAACTTACACCTATTGTCTGGGCAACTGAGAGTAAATTGCCTCTGTTGTCATGACAACACACTTCCTCTTATATTTTTCCAGGTGATCACTCTACTGTAGAAGAAATGAGGTTATCCAACAAGAATGAGGGGGAACAACAGCTTAAGCCAAACAACTCTGATACATCCAATGAAGATCAGGAAACCCAACAACCAGAAGAGGCAAGTAGTAGTCTTTCAATTCCATCTTAGTTATGGGGATCCTCCCCTAGAAAGGCACCC